GAGCGGTTAGTGGGAATAAATACAAGACTTATGAAAATTTGTATAAGAAGTTAGAATCTAAAGAGTGAGAAAGATACATATGAGCTTGCTATGATTAAAGAAAGGAAGAGTAAAGATTTGGGTAATATTAGGTGTATTAAAGTGAGGATCAAAGAGTTCTAGTGACCGACGGGGAAATAAAAGAGAGGTGGAGGAGTTACTTTTATCAATTATTTAATGATAACTAAACAAGTGAGCAAAATAAAGATTTTGATCATATAGTGAATAATAGGAACTATAGATATTGTCGAATAATTAGGATTAGTGAGGTTAAAGATGGTCTAAAGAAAATAAAAAGTGAAAGAGCCGTAGGACTGAACGATATCGCTATTAAAATTTGAAAATATCTTGGAGATATAGGCTTAGGATGGTTAACTAAACTATTTAATAGGATTATCGAGACGAAAAGAATGCTAGATGAATGGTTGATGGATAAAGAAAATATACAAAGCTATTCAAATTATCAAGGTATAAAACTCATAAGTCATACTATGAAAATTTGAGAGGGTAATTGAGTAAAGACTAAGAAAAGAAATAAGTATATCTGAAAATCAATTTGATTTTATACCTGAGAGGTCAACTATGGAACTTATACATATTTTGAGACGGTTGATGGAGAGATATAAAGAGGAGAAAGGATTTACATATGATTTTTATCGATCTAGAAAAAGCTTATGATAAAGTACCTAGAGAGGTAATGCGATAGGTGTTAGAAAAAAAACATGTATCTAGTATATATATTGATATGATTAAAAATATGTATGATAGAGTAATAACTAGAGTAACAACTAATGAAAGAGAGACTAAATCATTTCTTATTACCATAGGTTTACACCAAGGGTCAGGTTTAAGTCCTATCTTTTTGTATTAGTTATGGACCAGCTTACTATGCGCATTCAGGATGAAATCCTATGATGTATGTTATTTGCCAATGATATAATATTAGTTGATGAAACTAGAAGATGTATTATTTTAAAAATAGAAAGATGGAGATAAGTTCTTGAATCGAGAGGTTTTAGAATTAGTAGAATAAAAACAAAATATATGAAGTGTATTTTTAGTAAAACTAGGAAAGAAAGAGAGCATATGGTACACATTAATGGCCAAGAAATACTTAAAACTAATTATTTTTTTGCTATTTAGGATCAATCACTATGCACGATGGTGAGATAGATGATGATGTTGTGCATCAAATCAAATCGGGGTGGTTGAAATGGAGGAGTGTTTCGGGAGTCTTGTGTGATCGTAGAATACCAATGAAACTAAAAGGAAAATTCTATAGAACGGTTATAAGACTAACTATGCTTTATGTGTCAGTGTGTTGAGCAATTAAAAACATGTCTAAAAAATGTAGCAGAAATGAGAATGTTGAGAATAAAATGAGAGAGAATAGATTAAGATGGTTTGGTCATGTATAACGGGGACTCCTCGGTGCACAGATTAGGAAAAGCGATAATATTAGAGTTAATGGGGCTAGGAGATCTAGAGATAGACATAGAATGACTTGGTTGGAAGCAATTAAAAAGGATATGATTAAAACTAACTTAACGGAGAAGATGACCCATATCAAAATGGAATGAAAAAATAGGATTCATGTAGCCGACCCCAAACATTTGGGATAAATGCTTGGTTATTGTTGTTGCTGTTGTACATCTTTACTTTCACTGTTTTATATAAGCACAATATTGCAAAAAACATAATTAACAAACAAAACATGACTAAATTAACCTAGGGGAAACTATATGACAACCAGGTATTAACATCCAAGTCAAAAAAACCATGAAGAGAATCTTGCTCTCAGGAAGAAATATAACTACTGATACAAACAAAATATAACCATTGCCCATAGCAAGCTGATAAAAAAACATCATAAAACAAAAAGAGATAATAGATGTCATACATCATTAGCTTGTCTCCTTATCTCCTCAACAAGTTGTGTTCCACCACTTGACTTCTGCTTCATATTTAGTAGCTCCTGAAATTTAAATGGATAAATAAAGAAAATATTGTAACCGCGAAAGAAATATTTATGCAGCATAAGAATTTAATAGTTAGAGTAAACTGAGGATAAGTTTCTATTGCGTAAGCATTGCAAATACCTGTGCATAAGGCGCTGCAATTTTCACAAATGAAAATTCTGGATCCAACGTATAACCAATACCTGCAAGACATTTATTCCACTCAGAAGCATGTGGAGATGATGCTTGTGAAAAATATTTCCATATACGCTAATATTCATATGACACTTTATCATTATTTATTATTATTTGAAGAATGAACATCAAACTTATCAAAATACAAAACAGTAGAGTTAATAAGAAAAATAATGATTATGGTTCTTCTAATTCTTTTTACCATAGGCAATGTCAAGATCAAAAAAATACTAAAAGCAGTAATGAAACATGCTGGGGAGTGCCTAAAGAGTATCCAAATTTCTTGCCAGACATGGACACAGCTGCATGATAAGGGCGTCTACATAGGATTAAGCCCTTACACCACCTGTTGGGATGCATGCCATTTCCATTCCTAGATAGTTTTGGGTTTCTAGGGTTTAAATGGAGAATATCATGGGTTGACTTCATTTCAGGTCAGAATCATCCCCGGCTAATGAGCACTGTAAATGATTTTATTCCATCCAATATAGCCACTTGGGACAACATTGCTAATTCTGACGAACACATTGTTCACATACATGTCATTCTTATCAAACTGGATGCAGGAAATTTTAAAGGAATCTAAAATAGTAGGGAAAATTGAGTAATTGCAACCTAAAACACTAAAATAGGTTTTCACGCCATATTACAGCAGAAGAACAAAATATTTGATGCAAATTAATTCATCAAACTTATAGTCCATCAATGCTTGTATAGTTTTCAGTATCTACCACATAGTTAGCAATATTCTTCGACATAAATCAAAGTTTTGCCTCCACAAGTGAATTAATTACCAGTTCCTGCTTGATAAATTTATACATTATAAAATGCGCATAAAATGATTGCCACAGGAAGGACTAACATTATCAGTTCTACTGGAAAGTCTATCAGGATTAGAAAACAATAAATATATGCATATTAAAGATATTGCTACTGATGTAAGAAATAAGAATGGCACCTTCCAGAGTTGAGAATGCCCTGATGACAAAAGTAAAGGTTGCTGGAAAACGGAACGGTTGATCTGTTGCTATTGCGAACAAATCCTGCAAGAGTTATTAAAGTTTCAGTAAGAAATGAGTTATTAAAATTTCAGTAAGAAATTAGACACTTTTCATCAGTAACTAGAAGGATGCTTGTTATGTTATCTGCATCGTATCAAATGTTCGACTACCTCTCCAATTGCTGCCAAAGTTTGTTCCTGATCGGGTGACTGATTCAATAGATTATCCAAAAAGAATTTTACTGACCTCCTTACCTATGCAAGACAACTAGCAGATATTAGTGAAAGGTACAGAAAAAGTCTAAACGGTAACATGAAACCCATATAAGGATGTTAAAACATGTTATTCCGAAAATACATGCATGCACTCATTAAGCACATACATGCATACATAACCCATACCTATCCAGATCAAATCAAGAAATACGTACATATACGTGCATACATAAACTATACCCTTTCAAATTCTTCTCATAACCCCTAATCTTATCAAATCACATGAATTAAAGGCTTCGGTATAACTATTCTTTACAATAGGTAGACTATTATCTGCACTAAAATATAGTATAAAGATATTTAAATGAATTTTAATATACTATACTATAACTGAGATTTCCTATAGAAATTAGTATAACTATTATTTACTACAATCAAATATGCATATATTATGCTTTAGTTATTAATATACTATACATCATATTTTTAAATAAAAACTCCAACCAAACTGGTCATAACTTATCATTATTTATTATATATACTATATAATACACACTCCTTAATTCAAACACTCAACTCCCAACTTGCACTAGCTGCATGTTCTCTCCTCATCACTTCCCAGTCTTCACTAAATAAAAATTTATTTACAACCAAGCGTGAAAAAAATTGTATCTCTTGATCTCCCAAAAAATCACTATAAAATACAACTGACAACTACCAATTCTCTCTTAACAAAATCCTACTTCTTAAAAGGCAGCATCTCAACAATTATCCGGCTGTTCGGTTATTTAAAACAAATATTTGGCCACAAAAACTAAATATATTGCGCTTTACTGCTGAGGTGGGTAATATACTTGGGGGACACCGCAATGCCGAGTTGTTGGGCTCTTTCTTCGCACCTCCGCTGCTGCCTTCAGGCCACAAGCTGCCAACCATATACCCAAGTCCCTGGTCCATTCGGATTAATTTGAGAGTAACGTGCTTATGGAGTATTCTCCCAATGTTAGTTGAGTAAATATGTGTATTTTTTTCTATTTGCATGGTTACATCAACAAGTAAAATAAAACTACAGGTTTATGATTGTGTTGAATCTACAATTTTATAACATTATGATGATTAAGTAAAATATAGTATGAGAGAGAGAGTCTGGGGATCCTGCAGAAGCTCCCTCGCCACTCGCCAACGGATTAGGGTAAAGGAGACAGGGATGAGAGATGAAGAAAGAGGTTACATATGTAAAATTGAGAAAACTAAAAGTGTGCATGAAAAAAAATTATTACTAAAAAATAAAAAATAATAAGGGTTATTTAGTTATTTTATCGTGTCAAAAAGGTTAAATTTAATGGTGCTTACTTTGGGTATTTTCTTTCATATAGTGAATGCTATTGTAACTAAAAGGTAGAGAGGGAAATTGATAGGTTAGTGATTTAGAAATTTTTATATTGTAACTACAAGGGTTATTTACTCATTTTATCTTGTCATGAAGGTTAAATTTAATGGTGTTTTCTTTTGGTATTTTCTTTCATACAATGATGCTATTATAAGTAAAAGGTAAAGATGAAACTTGATAGGTTAGTGGTTTAGGTTTTTTATATGGTTTAATTCTAATCAATTTTAAACGTTTTATTTACAAAAATAGTATTATAAAATAGCACTGATTATAGGGTTTAATAAATGCTTAATGTTCTGTGAAATTTAATTATGCATGGCATGTTCTCTCATTCTTCTCTACAAGTACAAACAAAGAAGCTTTCTATTAGACATAAATATTTTTAATTGTTTATTAAACCCTATAATCGATGTTTTATACTTATTACATGAAACACTCAGAACATGAAACAACCAGACCATGCTTTAAAAAGTGATTTTAATTGATTTATTACATAATCAAAATATATTATGGAGATCTATAATATTACAGTTATATTATGAATAATATATTAGGAGTATAAATTAGAGATTTGGTGATTGAGAGAGATTAGTAATGTGACTAAGAGAATAATTATGATTAGGTGATCGTATTTGGTCCCACATTAACTACACAATAAACCTCTTGTTATCGTATCCTTATATAAAGGGGAGTAGTAGTAGCTTTTAAAATATGAATGAGAATCTATAATATTTTATTGTTAAACATGGTATTAGAGCCACGCAAACCCTAGTCTACACAAAACCCTAGATCCTCACAAACCTTAGCCCTCCAATCTCTAACACTCAAACTCCTTCCTCTGCCTTATAACCTCCCTTCTTTCTTGTGACACCTCGAACAGTAACATGGCAACTGCTAATTGTGAACAGTGCCACGGTAACTGTTTACAGTAAACAGTGTTGTGGATTCTTATACGTCCTACTTTCGATGACCTTGTTGATGATTAGGATTGTTATCATTAGTAGTCATCGTCAATGTATATGTTCTCGTCACTGCCCATGCCGCCTCGATTTTCCTTTGTTCGCCGCCAACTCAACTTGTCGACACCACTACCACCACCGCTTATATTCTAGAAACCTTGATCACCATTAGCTACCCAAAAAAATATTTTGATTGAATCAGGATTTGGTTTGGATTTTGGTTCGGTTTGGATTTTGGTTCGATGAAGGTTATTTTCTCAGTTGTTTGGTGGATCCCCAAAGAGGGATCATTTGTTTGACAGATCCCTAAAGAAGGATCATCTATTTGTTAGATCCCGAAGAGGATTGTTTGTTTGGTTCATCCGTGAAGAGGATCGTTTGTTTAGTTAATCCACGAAGAGGATCGTTTGTTTGGTGGATCCTTAAAGAGGATCATGTGCGTGATGAGTCCCTAGTAAGGATCGTTTGTTTGGTAGTTCCCTAAATGATCTGCGAAGATGATCGAGGTATCGCTTTTGGTGATTTTGGTTGAGGTTGTTTGTGATGGAAGACATTCAAGTAGAAGACTAGAAGATGAGGACAAATATGATGAGCAAGGTCACACAAAAGATTTCAGTCTTTTAAGTCATATCACAAATTAAAGTGAGTACATCTTGTTTGTAACAAGCCGGACATGTGTGATTATACATGCTCCAGCTAGAGGGGGTGTTAAAGAATATATTATGGAGATCTATAATGTTACAATTATATTAGTAATAATATATTAGGAGTATAAATTAGAGATTTGGTGATTGTGAGATATTAGGAGCGTGACTAAGAGAATAATTGTGATTAGGTGATTGTGTTTAGTCGCACATTGACTACACAATAAACTTCTTGTTATTGTATCCCTATATATAAAGGTAGCTTTTAAAATATGAATGAGAATCTATAATATTTTATTGTTTAACACCTATGATCATTGCTTAAACTTATTATATAAAAACTTAGAATATAAAATAAGTATGACAATGTGTAATGCGCGTGCACTATGCTAGATTCTGTAAAAAGATAACAAGGTGGTCTTTTAGTACAGTGTCATGCCTACAGCGTAAGGAAACAAGTTCCACAGAATACATACCGAGGACAAGTCGCCTGTAGGTTGAAGTGCTTCAAGTTTAATGAGACATCTCAGAACCTGCAATCGTAACCAAAATAGTTCTTAAATATGATACTATTAAAGCAAGGAAATGGGTTTCAGTAAGCTCTTGAGATTAAATAACATCAACTACAATATAAATAGCTTAGCGTATGAAAAGTAAACACCTCATAAAAAATTGTGTTCTATTATGTGGTTCTTGTGACTTCAGAAACGTTCATAGTTCCAGTTAAATTAGATCAATAGATTCAATACTGATATCAAACTCACATACCAAACATTATTCTTGAAAAGAGTTTGATCTAATACGTCGCAACTACTGTTTGAGTAGAGATGAGCAGTCATCAAGTATCAAGTAACACCTTCAATCTATTAAGTCATGACACCAATGTAATAAGTCATGAGATGCATGTTTGCAAGAATCCTCAGTCTCCCAAGGTGAGCAGTGATGACAGATGAAGCCTTTTCTTGGCTAGATCAAGAGTTGAAGGCCAATTGGGAGCACCACTGCATGTTTCTCTTTTCTATGCTCACCATAAACTTATAATTAATTTCTCAAAGAGAAGATTCTTTACCATTAAAATCAACAACCAAAATTTTGTACAGCTCATTAGATGTATATGCTGCTAATTCAGGCTTGGTAAGAAACGATAGATGGAAGGGTCAAGCAAGCACTTGCCATGGAACATAAAAGAAAAATCCAACAACAAGATAACACCAAACTGATTAATCATATCTTTAATGGTGCATCTCAATATTAGTATTGAGTGTAAAATACCTTGTCCGCATCTTTTTCATATACCGCATAAAACAAGTCAAGCAAGCTCTCCCGGGTGAAGGATTTTATTTCACCCATCATCCCAAAATCATAGTAGATGAGTGATCCATCTTTGTCAATAGCAAGATTGCCAGGATGAGGATCGGCATGAAAGAAACCAGTCTTCAGTATCTGCAGTGGCACCAAGCAGTAGCATGTCAAGATAGCTTGAGAAATTTCGACCTTGTTGTTTTTAATGAATTCTATGGAGAAGAAAAAGTAGAAACTAGTAACATATATTCAACTATGATAAAATTGATCATAAGGGCAAACATAAGTTTATCCCAAGAATCCAAGATCAGTCCTGCAAATCCTTCTTTGAAAATAACACCTACCATGGCCACAGAAAGTGAAATATGAATATGGATGCAGGGATGCGCCTAAAATAGGACACATACATAAAAAAACAAATACATGTGTATTTTTATGTTTAATGTGATTCTATAATATGTTCCTCTTTATACAAAGATGATCAGAACTAGCAAACAATGGCTACCAAAGGAACATCCACTTTATGCTTGATCCAAAGAATATGTTCACTCAACCGGCAGAAATAAATGCAAGAAAATCCAGAAGTTCTGTCGAGGTTTTAGGGGATTTAGTTAATAACCTCCCTCCCTCCCTCTCAGTTCTGTGCACTATAAATGGTGGCAAAGTTGACTTTTGTGTAGTAATTCTCTTTCTAAGTCCAGTTTAAGCACAATCTCAACTCAGATGGCACCTTTGCCATGACACCAGAGATCCAGAGTCACTATAAGATTGAGTGGTGAATTTATAATCTAATAGTCTAATAATGTGTTTTTATTTGGCTTTTCTTTCTGCCATGGAGACTTATATAGCCTTCTGTCTACTTAGACTTCTTTTCCATGCTAGACCAGAGCTAATCTAGTTGCAGTAACTTCAGCCCGATGATCAACAAGCTGGTGTCTCTCTGTCACAATCCTTATAATTTGTGGCGCACCATGTTTTCTGTCGACACTTTACCCACACAGGATTTTTTATGATCTGCAAAAAATCAACAACAGCTTGGCAGATAATCTGTATAACTTACCACTCTTCCATGGTGCATAGTTAACATGTTTTCATTTGATAAAAAATTACTTGATCGTAGAAATTATGAAGCATAATATTACCCATTTTTAGAACGATTTGACAAAGAGACTAAGAAATACAGTTAAAATCTGATATATATCACAACAAACAATATGCCAAAGTAGACATTATTTATACCTGAATCAAGTATGCTTCAATTGCTCGTGAAGCAATAAGAGAGCGACTGTAGCCCCGTGCATCTAACTGATTCAAGCTATTTATCTTTATGCCTGTTCAAAAATCAGGTATATTCACAATGAACTTTGAGTGTAAAGATCTTCAGTTTGACATAAGCGCATCTAGAGTGTAAAGTGTTCTCATCTTAAACCTAAGTGATGTAGATTTTAAGTTTGCAACTATGCATTGACACACACAACAGCTATACTAACCTGGAACATACTCTAAAGTCAATACTTTTGTTGAACTATAATCCCAATTGATAAGCTACAAAAGGCAAACAAACTTCACGTTAGGCTCCAATAAGCTGTTATAATTTATAAAACACTCAGACCACCATCTTCCAATTCAAATACCAGTATAAGACAAAGACCAATAAGTTACATAAAAGCAAAGAATCAAATAGAGTTTCACTTGCACATACAGGTACTCGAACCCACTTTATATTCCGGAAATCACGACGAAACTTATCGGCATTTTTTCCTTCATTAATATAATCAATCTCTTGATACAGAATCCTGAAAGTGACAAGAAGACAGATGTTACCCAGTGAAAAAGAAAACTTAGATAATAATTGAAATGAGATTGAGAGTACCGAATTGAATGTCAGTAAAAAAGCTAACAATGAAGATCACACAAATGTTTGAATGCATAAATCTATGAAAATTTTCCGGAATATAAGTTAATAACAAGCTATAAAAAATCATCATCAAAGCAAGCATTAAAAACATAATATGTTTCAATTAAAAATTCAGAAGCACTCAAAATTTTCCTGATTCTAGGAATTTTTTTGATGACCTTTATCGCCCTCCCCCTTGTCTACAGATATTCCTGATTGTGAGAAATTTGGAAGGCCATTACCCTGCCTCTTAACTGCAACGTCTCCCAATTATATAGGGAAAAATTGCAAAATAGACTGTTTTTGCTAATTATTTAGCAAAATAGACCGTTTTACTAAATAATTAGCAAAATAGACCTCTTTTTGGCCAACAGGCCAAAAAGAGGTCTATTTTGCAAAACAGCTCAGAAAACATACGGGACTAGTAGTCCCGTATGTTTTAATCACGGATTAGTGAAATTTTCTACTCAGAAAACATACGGGACTACTAGTCCCGTATGTTTTCTGAGTCACTAATCCGTGATTAGTTGGCTCTAAACATACGGGACTAGTAGTCCCGTATGTTTTCTGAGCCTTGTTTTTCAAAATTGACCTCTTTTTTTCAAAATAGGTCTATTTTGCTAATTATTTTTCAAAGTGGTCTATTTCGCTATATATTTCATAAAAATGGTCTATTTTGCAAATTTTCCCAATTATATAACTATGGAGGACGTTCAATGATGATATGAGCTTTACGCAATATGGCAGGTATGAGAGGTCATCCTAGTTTATACAGACTTAGCTTTATGCCAAGCCTAGCTATTCCCTAGAGTTTTCTCAAGAAATCGGCTGTTTGGAGAGGGGATGTCAGGTGTCAGTTGGCCATGAAAAATATATCAGGCCTTCTTAAGCTTAATGTTGCTCTCTACTTGAACAATACTGTGACCATCCCCATTTTGAGAAAAGCTCAGATAATGATAATGATGCTGGCTCATTATAGCAACCTAGCCAAACTAAAATTTCTGGAGGAAGCAGCTTATCATTTCTCCTAGATATCCATGCTTCTTTTGTCAGCGCATTGAGTGAAAGAATTGACACATAAGAGATATCTTGTAAACATGTAGAGGAAGCATGAAGGGATCATTCTAGGCAAATCTTGTAAAAAGGAGGGGAAAAAAAGACCTAGCGTGATTAGGGCTGGAAGTGAACCAAATAAGGAATAAACAGTTCGATTATTATCCGTCCAGATATTCGATTAGATTCGATTCGGTAATTCACCTAATAGTAAATGAATAATTTTTAGTATTCGAGTCATAAATGAATAGAATTTAACCAAATGTACATTCGATTCACTTGATCATTAAATTTTAATTTATATTTTATATTTATTAAATGGTAGTTTAGAAATTTCAAAAAAAAAAATAGTTAGCTTCGCTTGAGGCGTAAACTTAAATGAAAAAGGCAATTTTAGAAGAGAAATCAAACATTATTATGTGTTTGAGCATAGATTTGCAAATATATATAACTTGGAGGGTGTTTGTGCACAAATCTACAAAGAAAATATAAAAGAGAAAAAGATGTTTGTACCCAGAATTGAACCAGGGCACAGAGACTTTAAAGCCCAACCCACAAACCAACTGCGCTAACGAAGATTCGCGAACCAATACCGAATATCTCATTTATAAATGAATCAAATATGAATACCATTCTGCTATTCGACCTGAATTTGAATATGATATATCTGACCGAATTCGAACTCGAATATGCAGATATTCGATTCAAATTCGGCATTTTCCACCCCTAAGCGTAATCAATATTAGTTGACAAATTGAAATGCACAATAATACAAAATAGTTAGTAAAGAGAAAGACTTGAAATAGTGGACAAGATCTTCCTTTGCCATGGGATAGGATCTTGAAATTCCACATGCTATATGATAAAAGATATGGAATATGCATACACAACTTATCAGTGGGAAATAAGTGTGACGGTAAGATAATTAACTGATATTCTGCAGTGACGTTCTAAAACTGGAAACCAACAATTTCAATCAATCATATTGGCAGGAGATAGTTTGGACCTACAAAAACAACAGCAGCTGAAACAGTACTTACTTTGAACATTCGTCGTATATACCTAGCCAATCTCTTGTGGGACCTCCAAGCGTTTCACTTCGCTGAAAGTACTCGGCTACCAGTTTCAAATTTTCTAGAAAAAAAAAGAACACGATCAAGAGCATCAAGCAAACGAATACAATGCTAAGCTCCTTGAATAACAACATAAGCAAAAATACATGGTTCCCTTACTGAATATACCTGAACATAAAGCAACAAAGCAGCAGAAGAAAAGCTCCCTAATTTGGCATATCAAGTAAACAAAAAAGCGGCACTTAAATATGAGCATCTTAATATTGATCTTGGTTACACCATTGCCCGGCACCACAAGCATATAACAGATAACTAATTGCAATACTCCAAATCAGAAGACTCGGAGCTGATAGGTGCAAAAGACCAACCAAAATTTACACATAAACCAAATATACAGTTTTAGTTTTGACTAAGATAATAAACTAAGAAATACAAGAATAGAACATAAATATGCAACCCTATGATAGTCGATACCACTGACATTGTGAACTTTAAGATCAAACCACTAAGCACACAAGATAGAACAACAATGAAGAACACAGATGAAGAACACGGTGTACATGCTTTGGCTGAATCCAGCCTACTCCATGGAGCACAAAAGAAGGATTTCACTATGACATGCAAGGATAAAATTACCAAAAAAACACACTATTGTTGTGATCTCTCACCATCCATTTCACTCATGTCGCTCTTTGCTCCTACAAGACATTTAAGACAGCGAAACCATCTCTTAAAAGAGAAGTTATAGTAATACTAAAAGAATTAGCAGCACAATCTATCATCTCATCGTAGCCCACACCGTTTACAACCTTGGTCCAAATATGGCAACATGATAAGGTTCATGCAGTCTAGATAATTGCAACCAGGTGCTCAACTAGAGAAAGACACAATCTACATGCTTAACTGGCTAATTTCTGATGAACACAAACATTTTGGAGAAAGCCCATTTTTCTCTGTTCATTTCAAATATGAAACATGTTCATGCTCCACGCAACGCGTCCCAAGATGATCTCTACAAGATGTCATTATCATGTCATTCAGTCACATTCAAACAAACACGATGACCACATCATGCTCCTCAGAATTCATAATCAGCACTAATGATTATTACACCCTACTCCACTTTGGTCAGACAACAAAAACACTTTTAAAGACAATTGATAACTATGAATGCAATGTGGAGACCGTGACTAAACCAATTCATTAAATCATGTGGATACTACATTTCACTCTTAACCAGCACAAACTTTTTATCGGCAGATCTACACTGATCTCATTCCTCATAAGCCAACTCTTCTTTGAAAAGCTACTTCACGCAGTGGAGTTTGCCTAATCCACATCCATCACCGCACACAGAACGCCAAAAAACATAGGGCTAAACGGCTGGATCACCAAAATCTGCCACACATTCTTCAACCTAACCTTTCATCATTCTCAGCCATTGATCATAACCATAAGCATGATTTACTATACCTTTATGTTTTCACTGATGTATATCATCTTGTCAGAAACATCCAATCATAAGGCATTTTCTTTCCACGTACACATTACTCGAAAGCTTAAACATGATATAGTGAACTGCTGTCAGAACTGTTATGCATTACCATGCAGACACCCTTCCCGCAACCGCGCAGGCCAATTCTTGCTAGCCCGTGTGGCTCCATGTACCACCAGATCAGATAGATAAGTAGGTTAAGCGCTAAAATCTGAGAAGCACAAGTAGGGATACATATGTTCTTATTTGAATACCATATTTGAGTTGCTTGTAGGACACTTGTCCTTGGTGTACAAACTCATGATACAAGAGGCGAAAATTAGAGTCCATCATCAGGAATCAGGCTATTAATGTCACTTTTCAAGTAACTAATCATGTTATTTCGTTTGAGAATTCAAGGCTGCATGCAGTAGCTGGCTTTCTAAGTTCATTCGAACGAAGATCACAGAATACTATGTCAAATGGTCTATGGTTCTACAATATACCACCAAAAAAAGATGCACAAGTAGCTGCTGAAACATTCTTCATATTTTTCCAGCCATGGAAGTTTAAATAGAAAAACGGAGTGGACGAAATGATTAATAGCCTGCACAGACCATATAGTTGTATGATATGCAAATAATTTACAACGATTTTGTAAACTGACGGTTTGTATCAAGTCCAAGATGTGAGATATGAAATCAGTAATTTGAATATGAAACAGTTATCTGGATAGCTTACTCAAGTCGATGTCAAAAAGTTTCTTAAGACCAGGCCTTTGAACTTTCACAGCCACTTTCTCTCCATTGTGCAGAATAGCTCGATGCACCTGGGCATAATAACCATAATGCCAAATCAGCAAATTACAAGCTAAACAAACTTCATATGCAAATTATGAGTGAAATGCATAAAATAAGGCAATATCATATTCCTGATTCCAAAGAAAGTGAGAGTTTAGATATTCAAGGAGAGAAATGAAATAAGATATCAATTTGTAATAGAACTAAATATCCCAAAAGATCATTGTGAGATTCTGATTTCAAAGTTTAAGAGAAAATACATGTGAAACGTTACAAAAGTATGAATGACAACTGCGCATGTTTGCAGGCATAATTGTTATATTTATAGCAGTTAAGAGACATGACTAAACTATAACAAACAACAACACTTCTTTATCAAGGGAAAGCAAGGATACGCCAAAACTTTGTCTGACAATCAGTACTTGACGCGCTAATAGAAAATTGAAACAGGTGCAGAGTAAACAAACTAAACAATTCCAGACAAATACAAATAAATAAATAAATAAATAAGCCAACTCCTAACAAAAGTGCACAAGAGAAACAATAATTAACAATAGAAGAGAATATGCATAAAGCAAGAAAGAAGCAAAATTCAGGAAAATTTTGACAGCTTAGAATATGCATAAAGCAAGAAAGGAGCAACATGCAGGAAAAAATTGACAGCTTAGTCATCAAGACAACAAGTAGTGATTGAACTAGGGA